CTCTCTGTCCCTCCACTGCTGCAATTTTCAAAGGAGTTTGCCTCAGGCAGTTTTAAATGATGGTGTCTCAATTCTGTAATCATCTTTCAAGAGCTTTTTCTTAAAGGGTATTTTAGGTAAACCTAGTCCGTCAACTACACTTATGGACTAAGCAATCACAGACCCGATATGACTGTGTACCTACCGTATCGCAGAATTTAGTGATGGAAGATGCTTACCCAGACCATCATTTTCAGCCCCCAAGAAGCTCTGTGTGCTCCCTTGCAATTAAGCTGCCTACTGCCCCTTGGTCAGTGGTCTGCTGTTTCAAACAGGACTTCAGACATCTCTTTTGGAACATATTCTCTGCTCCCTCCTGCCCCTCTCTTCAGCCCAGTCATACCACTTCCAAAACACCATGTTTTTCACTCCATTTCACTGACGCTCAGAACCTTCTGTCCATTTGGCTCTCTTCAAACCACTCCACCACAGCCTCCTGAGCCTATGCAGTACCCACTAGCCATCTCCCTGTTACTGCACATTCACACTCACGCTTGGCGACTGCAGCCGCCCTGGCAGATCACAGCCCCGGGAATCCACCCAGCACTTAATGTGTTTTGTAAAAACAGCAGCTCATCAAGGAAGCAACTAGCAAACTTTATCAACAATAGCTCACTCTATTCTCAGCTCTGTCTGGGGTAATTTCATCATTGGTGAGTATTCACATGCAGCTGAAGAGGTGTTTGATATTACAGCTGTGAATTTCAGGTGCTAGATATCCTGTGAGAGCCGTCTCCCACCTGACAGACAGACATCACTCCCCAGAAGGATGTGGGGACCATGGCATATGCCCACTTGTCTACTGTGCACAGAGCCTGGACTCCCCTCCTGTTCAAATGCAAAGGAGCTGCTGGCACACGCCAGAAGGGTAAGAAGTCCTTCTAGAGGTTTGACATTGTATAGATAGGTCTAATCGTCAGCTCTGCCTCCTCGAGGAGGCTTCCCAGCAGGCAGGAAGGGGTTTTGCCTTGAGGGCACAGATCTAGTGACTGTCTCCTGGCAGCTTTCCTCACCTGCAGGTCAGGTTTGCGTTGTCTGTGTAGCATAGTCAGGCTTTCATTTCAATCATCTGTCTCATTCACACACACTATCTGCTTTAAAATAACAAGCTGTTGTTCCTGCAGACAGAGAATCGCACAACACATCCCAATCATCCAAGAAGAGCCCTGTTCTAGGAGCTATGCATCCCAAGGGTAACAGAGAGAAGAGGGGGAAGGGACTTCCAAAGATGGGGCAATAGCCTATGGGAGAACGATAGCTGGGAGAGAGATGACAACCTTAGCTAACAAGACCCGCAGAGTGCTGGGGAGAAAAATCCAAGGGCAATGTAGTGAGGAGACAGGCACCTGGGGGAGTGCAACTCAACAGTGCAGAGCTGGTGAACAAGAAAGGAACAACAAAGAAACCTTTAGCCAAAAGGGCAAAGCAGTTTGCTGACAGGGGTGTGGGGGAATGCCAGCATTTTTCACCCCAACAGGAAACAGCCCTTTATAGCTGCATGCCAGGAAGAGACACACAAAGCAGAGTAAAGCCAAATGAAATATCCAAGCAAAGTCGAAGCAGAGACTCTACTGCCCCAATGGAGAAAGGAGTGAAGGGAGGGGAAAGCCTTTCAATGTGAACTTGGTTGTTCTGTCTTCCCTCCCACCTGATGACAAAGAATAGTCTGCACTTGGGAGATGCTCTTGGCTGCTACAGAAAAGGAAGCGGTGCTCTGCAGATAGCACTTTTTAAATTCCACTGATAGTCTCACATCTCCCATCTCATGCAGTTTCCCTGCCATACAGAGCTCAGTCAATGCTGCCCATTTCCCCTGTTGACATGGACAGAAAATTGAGCAATTACCCTTAAACTCCTCTCTCTTAGATTGCCCAGATTGCTACATACACAGCATTAAGCCCCCAATTGCCCCTGGCCAAAAGTGACTCGACTAGGCCTGTCCATTAGGAATTAAACGCTTTTTTGTTGCTTGTGAAGGTGTATTATTCCTCAAGTTGTAATGCATTAAATCCAGCTAAAGCAGCACGTTTTCCCACCATGCAGAGGAGCTGGGCCCCCCCGACAAGGTTCAGCTGGACACACATCTACCTAGCAAAGGGGCGTTATCCATTTGCTATGCCTGTGTACCAGCATGTGCCAGCGTGTGTTCAGGAGGATGGTCACTAAGCTCACAGAGGGTGCTGTAGGAAACCCCAATATCCGTCAACTAGACACTCCAGAGCTGTTTCTGGAGAGACACTGCAATTTTTCAAAACAGTCTTTCCAGCCTCGAGTTTTACAGGACTGGTGCTTTTAGTCAAACACGTGTCTTTGCTTTCCTATGACTCAAAACTGGCTCCTCTTGTCCTGGACTAGCATCTATGAAGGAGAAGTATGGATTAGAGAAAATGGATTCTCAGCACAACTTGGTACTTCAAGGTACTTCACTGGTGGTATTTCAATGGTTTGTATTGTGCAGTATGGATGACTTGCACCTTCTGGGTTTCCCTGTGCCACTGTAAGGAATGGCTGAAATTGCAGATAGTTCCATCTATGTCCCTGTCTGGCCCACTCACCCACAACCTCCCATATTACTTCAGTCTTTCCACACAGCCTGAGAAGCGATTGTCCTTCTCTCCCAAACCCCCACGGAGATGAGGATTCAAACACTATTTCATGCACAGGGTGAATGGCTAAGAGCACTGAGATAATTCTACTTTTATTTCTGAAACTACAAGGCTTATCAAGCGCAAAAGTATCCACTTGGCTGTACAGCCTTCCCTCTACCCTCCACATGCCAAACTGGCCTCTCTCTGGGCCCTATGCTTTTTTAACACTTCCTCCAATGGACTCCAAATTCTGAGCATCTGGGTGTAAGAGCTGTATAAACGATCACAACCTAGCACATTTCAAGTACACAATATTACCTTTTTTAAGGGCATATAGTTTTGTCCTTCATTCTTCTAATGAAAAGGTTGGATGGGGGACAAACAATGTTAATGGAATGGTACAGCTAAGCTTTCCAATAGGTTAAAGGAAGGCGATCCAAATGCATTGGTTGACAGCAGCAATCATTATGCAACTGCGCCTGTTCATATTAAGGTGTACAAGCTAACACATTATGCAGCACAAAATAACCGTGACCCATCCTTGGGGATCCATACACCAATGTCTTCATTTTTGTGTGTTTAGAATCTGAGCTTTACTGTTAGAGTTAACAACACAAGCCCAAGTGCAGTCCTGTGAGAACGGGAGGCCGATACAGCTCAACTTACTGCTCAGCCACAGAGTGCTATTCCCTGCCTTCTACACCGGGCAGTTATTTGTATCTCTCCTCTTATTCAAAAAAGTCATTTTATGCAGGTACTGGAGTTTGTTTATATGTCACTCTTCTTCACTGCAATTGCTGAGCCCACATGGAAAACTCCTCTCCCAGAATAGCTTGCTTAATCTCCCTGTAGAAATAGGACCACAAGCACGCAATGCACTCATTCATTTAGAGATTTTCCATATGCAAATTGGATCCACAGCCCAGTGTATCTGAATGTACCAGAAAATGCCTGGGTAGAAATCATAATCAAATTAGTGGGATCTTTCTTCTAACATTTAAGTTTTAATCCAAAAATGAACTCTGGTTTGCAAACAATCCAAATTCAACTGTTAACTATAGGTTAGGCACAGACAAATAAGTGAAGTATATTAGGACTTGCCATGTCTTCATACCACATTCTGTATCAATTCTATTCTGTATTTATTACTCAAGGTCTTGGGGCACTAAAAGTCACATACTGCAAACATGCGACAAGCATTTTTATGCCTGGTTAGCAAAGACAGTTATTATACTCTGAATACAAGACCAAGGTTCTACAAGAAGGACAGCACATATGCAACAGTCAAAGAGCTGTTCAGAACAGACTATCAGCCTCAGTGACATACGCTGAAATTTAAGAAGCCCAAGAAACTTCCCAGGGGGAAAATTAAGTCTTTTCTGAAGATGCCAATGCTATAAAGGTGCCACTTCTGGCAGTCATATGTTGCAATGCTTAATCTGTCTGGAAGACCCAAATAAGTCTTAATTTAATCTCATTAACCACACTGATGTCTGATCCTTTGTGACTCCTGATAATTCTTCTCATGCTTGCTGATATTTTACAGATGCAACTTTTACACACTGCATAAAATTCTTAGCCCTTGAAAACTGAGGTAGCTCCTAGAGACTTAAACGAATTTCCCACAGTTCTCTAGTGCTCGTCTCAAAATACATATTGTGGATTTTTCCTGATATTTCCCTTGGCTCATCCAGTCCTAGAATAGCAAGTGATATACACTATAAAGAAAACCTGTGCTAAGTCAGGAGTCCAGTAGATTTTACAACAGCCTGTACAGGGATGGGATGGGATGGGACGGGACGACCCACCAGTGCCTATGTTTAGCTTATCATGTATGATCTTGAGTTAGGGCAAGTGGATTTTTTAAATTAAGAATTCCCTCATGACAGAGATCCCAGGAGAGCAGTGCAGACACTTGTCCAGATGGGAACAAGACAAGGATGTTACCATAAAACATGAGGAAGGCTTTAAGCAGAGCATACTATCAACTAAACTAGGGGACAGCAGCAATTTCTTTCCCTGCTCTTAACCTTTTATTGCTCTTTTAGCTCTCTTTTTGCCCCAGTCCACTATTCTCCATTTGAAAGTAATCACAGAGAAAGCGTGACCTCAACACTTTCCTTCTTCCCAAAGGTGCTTTATCATTCTATGTTAATGAAGAGCCAGAGTCAGACTACAGGTTCTCTTCTCCATCTCCTCTCCTGTCTCTACCTCACTCAGCAGCTGGGGAGATGTAAGCACCTCCCGCATTTGTTTACCCCCAGGGTCGTTCATTTCCTTGCAATTTCATACAAGATGCCTCTGCTCACTCTACTGGAGAACCCCCAGACACACATGAATGCACTTCTTGCAGTCAAGTAGGTGACACCTTACCTCCTCCATCATCTGATGCCTCCAAGCTCTGCTGTCTGAGACGATGGCTGCAGCAAAACAAAGGAAGAAAGAATTTCAATTGCAAGCCCAGAAAAGCATCTTGTTCTGTCCCCTTCCTCCCCACAAGCCTCATGGCCTGTCAAGAGGACAGTTCCCAGTTACACTTAGCCTGCAGACTGACCTTCTTCCACAGCACTCATTGCTGGACTCAGCAGAAATCTCAGCTTAGAGTGCTTAAACAAGATGCCTTGTACCTGCGATAAACCCCCAGGCTGCAAGCAGTAGGGCTGGGGTGGGTCTGGCAGGAAAGCAGATGCTTTCTACTTTTCCTTCTTTCTGTCACATGGGATTGACAGAGCCATCATCTACTCCATATCCAGGGAACAGCATGACCAGCTGTTGTCCTGTCCCAGTTCAGGACACATGACATGAATTCATGCCAAACTCTGCACCCTTCCCAAGTTCCAGATCTTGATGTACTGGTGCTTAGAGTCACATGTCCCTTTTCCATGAGAACAGATGTAAAAAATGTGGAGGAATGGAAACTTACTCTTCTACTTCTTCTGCATGTTTTCTTCCTGACCTGCAAGACAATGAAAGGGTTATGCTTAGAAAAGGCATCTTTCCCTATATCACATTATTGTCCAAAACAGTTCCTACACCAGGTCCAATATAGCACATTGCACCTATTTAGAGTTCTGAGTGACCATTAAACCAGTCTATCACAAAGTCCCTGAGCGCATCAGACCAAAACAGAACCATTTGGGTCCCAAAAGACAGCCATGTCCAGACTCAGCAAGAGCTATATTCCCTGATTTTTCAGCTTCTCAGATACTTTTTCATCCCCTCTGCCATCAGCTGCAGGTAAAGTTTGCCTTACCTGAGTAGAGAGGTTGGCACATTGAGGAGTGAAGAAGATGCTATATTTTGTCTACCTACCCCTGAGAGATCAACAGGTCCTTCCTGCCCCTGGTCATGCACAAAGATGATCTGGTTGCCTTTGTAGGTTAGGAGCCCCACCTGAGCTAGCCAAGTTCAGGTCAGACATGCTGTTGCTGCAGTAAATCAGGGTTGATCTGGCTGAGTTAACAGGAGTTCATAATAATAACGTGGGGGGGAGGCACTGGCAAATGGCAGCTCCCTTGCTCTCCACCCCAGCAAGCCCAGAAGTAATTCAGTCCCGATTAGGGACGCTTGTTCAATATTCAAAATGTAAAACATGGAGGTTGCTGAACCAGCACTTTGAAAAGTTAATTAAATGCCAGGTTTCTTTTTAGCAGATACTCCATCACTCGCTGATTGCTTTGGCCATTTTGCAGAGTGAAGTTTCATCTCTATGCGTTGAGAATAAATATTCTCCCCTCCCTTGAAGTCAGGGTGCTACGATAAGGAATACATGGGGCTCTCCCCTACTACACGCGCTGTCCCAGGACACACCAAAATGTGAGACTAGTTGTTTCATTGCCTTTCACTGCTCCTTTCAAAGCACTTCCATGAGATGGGACAGGTTTCTCCTCATCTGCTCTCTGTTCTAGCAGGCCATAGTCCTCATCTAGTTCTCCTGTGAATAACCTACTCTACTAAGAGCAAGGTGCAGGGCACAGAGGATGTCTAGCTGTGAGAAGAAAGCTCCTTGTCTCCACTGCTTTCCCTGGAGTTTGCAATCTGTAAGAAGCTAAAGATTGCACTGAATCCATGATCTGATCCTAGTGATATCCACTGCTATGATCAGAACTGCAGCTGTGTAGGTGACATCTGCATCTGGGCTTTCAGCTATACCTGCACCCTTCTGTTCATCACAAGAGACAGAAATGCAATGGAGCCATGGAATTTAGGAAAGAACTCTTTCAGTGAGGAGTAATTGTCCAGCTCCATCCCTCTTCCTAGTGGTAGTGCAAAGCTCTTTTTGTGAACCCCCTGATACAAAGAAAGGGGTGGCTCCAGAGAGCCCATCACCAGCTCCCACTGCAGTTTAGAGTCTAAGAAGACGGATGATGCAAGATTTATCCTATCTTATCCCTCCCTTCTGCCTTCACAGAACTGCTTCCCACACCTTCTCTTCAGAGCCTTGCCTTCACTTGAGCTGAAACATCCCAAACGATGGCTTTGCACAGCCTTGCACAGTGAGATGATTTCCTGGAGGTTCAATCTAACATCTTCTTAGCACAATCCAGTAACTTTGGGTAATTGTCCAGCTCCAAATAACACTCTCTTTTCCTCAGTACACACACTCTTTACATCTTTGCTCATCTCCTATCCCCAGGCAGGACTGAAACACTCCACATGTTTATACTTCCCAGGAGAGGGTCACTCCTGCTATCCCTGTAAGCAATTTCTGTTTCTTTTTCCTGAGCTCCCTGTCATGACAGATATCCACATGGCCCACAGGGAACTCAGTCATATGTTAGTCTTAGAGGCAGAGACTACTTCACTCGTGTTCCCAGACTTAAAGCTTTCCAAACTTCTCCTAGTTATGTTAGAAAATGTCTTATTCAGGGCAATAAGCAAATACTTCATTATGAAATAGCTGCATCATATTGGAAAAAGTAATTTGGGGCAAAAATTCATAGACCAGGATGGGAGAATGTGACCCATAGCCCAGATGTTAGAATACTCTCCTGTCAAAGAAGACAGTTCCCTCTTCTCTCTAGGGCAAGCTAAAGCCCCACTGTCACCCCTACCCAGGGGAACACCCTAGTCCCAGTGCCACAGGGTCTGAAGGTGGCAGTGGGTGATGCCAGTCACTCATGCTGACAGTGCTATGGTTTATACAGAGCATTTAAACACCAATGGCACCAGAGCAGGAGCTAGAAATGACTGTTGTTCTGTTTAGGTGAGACACCTGCTTACAGGCACGAGGCATGTTTATCAACACATGATTTGGAATAGCACTGTTTGATGAGACCGGCATTTCAAACCAGTTGATAAGCTCATAGGTAGAGAACTATCTGGGAAGTACAGTACAAAACTTCTGGACTATGGGAAGGAGTTACATGCTTTTATACTCCCCGTAGCTTTAATGACTGAGCTACTAGATAAAGAATCACAGAATCACAGAATCTTCTAGGTTGGAAGGGACCTTAAAGATCATCTTGTCCAACCATCAACCTAACTGACAAAAATAGACACCCACACAACAAACAAGGAACATCCTCACTAAACTAGTGATACTAGATACTAACCAGTCCACTATTTCCTTTCTTTTTAATGGAGCCTTGAACCCAAAGGGTTCCTTTCCTTTTGTTTGATGCCAAATTACTTTTACATTCCTTGTTTCATGTTGGAAAAAAAAATAATCACAAAATATTTTTGTTTTGTTCCTGACTAATGTTTTGCTTTTTGGCCCAACTACATTACCTAAACCTACCTAACAAAGTGACCCAGAGACAGAAGACAAGCTTTGCCCTGGGTCCCTATTTCAAGGCAGAAAGGGAAAAGAGTCATTAATAGATCCTTGAAAGGTGCCCTACCTCTAACCCTGTACATTCTATAAGCTCAGTCGAGGGCTAAGCTATACAGAATCACAGAATATTCATGGTTGGAAGGGACCTTTGAGATCATCGAGTCCAACCACAAAAAAAAAGCCCCAAAAAACAAAAAACCACCAACATGGAGATACCTGCAGAACCAGTCGCTGCTTGTCTCCTTTTTCTCCAGGTGCTAAGGAAAGCCCCACAGGCATTCTTCATGAAGTTATCATGGAGTACCCCATCCTGAGAACTGGCTCAGCTTATCAATGTCAATTGCATCACATTGAGATGCACCAATATTCCACCCTTCAGGAATATCAGGCCTGGATACACAGCATCCTCTTCATTCACCACAAGGTCACAGCTTTCTAGTGGTGAGTGAAAGCAGACATGGAAGAAACCAGACAGTAAACTCAAGCCGGCACAGTCAGATGTCCTACTCTTTTCTCACGTTCACAGCAACAAGAAGTGCACTGCCCTGATCTGTTTGCTCCAGCAGGAGACACGGCCCAAGGAGGGCAGCAACAAGTACCTCGAAAGCGAACAATTGTGTATATACTATAGATACACTCATCGGGTAAGGGCAAACAATACAATCCTGGGACCAGCACTCAGAAATGCATTCAGTTTGCTGTATTATACACCAGCCACACCAGCCTTGTGAGACTGCGACACCTCTGTTTTTTCGTGTCTTCTGACAGGCCCATTGCAGCTGGAGGACCAAAGAACAAGGACCAGCCCATCACCTGGACAGCTCCGTTTAAAATTCCCCCTCACTGCAAGGCTATCTGTGCTATCAAACATGTCCAAAATCCCAGAGTATTCCACCTTTGGCCAGCTGCTGACCCCCTCTCCATTTCAGGGTGTTGAATAGCTGAGAAACCAGGTGGAAGACCCCAACAGACCTCATGTAACCCCATGTTCTGTCACTCCTAGAACAGAATACCTGTTTCTCTCTTGGCTGTGTGTACCAGGGCAGAGGATAAAGACCTGATCTCACTCTTGAGTGTTGTCTTTGCTCGGTTCTGGCCAGCAGGAATCCTCCCTCCACATTAATGAGAGGGGGCTAAACCTCAAAACCGAGGCTTTCCCCCCTCATCCCCCACCCCTGATGTACAGCTGAGCTGCCTGCAACTTCTGTGCTGAAGGGTGAAAGGCAGTTCTAATGTAGACATCATCTCTCTTAAACTGTTTCTTTCTCATTTAATGGACTACCATGGAGATCTAAATGGAGATAAAGTAGCAGGGCTCAGAGAACGGTCAGGATGCTATCTTTATGCAGCATGACAATGTGCAGTGGTTAATTAGACACCGTTAACCTATTTTAGCAGGGGACATAACTGGGATGAATGGGGGGAATTGTCCTTGAAATCTTTTAATGTCCACAGCTCAGGAGAGCTCTGTACACACTCGCGTCCTGCGCCCAGCCCCAGCCAGGTGCCAGGAGGTGAGTGTGCAAGACCCGAGGGTCCTTTCTGCGGGCACAGGGAGGTGCGAGGGCGGGCACCGCAGCTGAGGAAAAGGGAAGCAATTACGGTGGCTGGATAAAACGAACAGGAATGCCCGGTCTAGCGCGATGGGGACGGCAGCCGAGGAAGAGAGAGGGCTGGGAGGGCGGGCGGGCAGCCCCCCTCGCCCGGCACCTCTCCACCGGGGCCGCTTTGCTCTCCCGAGCGGACCCCCCCGTCCCCGCTCCGCCCCGTTGGCGGGGGGCTCAGTGCCGCCGAGCCGGCGCTGCGGGGCCCCGGACCGGCCGGCAC